TTGACTTAGAACCATAGCAATGGACGGGACTAAAAAAGGAAAGAAAAAAAACTACCACTTTTTTTTATTAAGAGTAATGTTTCTTTATTCATTTTATGAGTAACTTTTCACTATACCTTTTTAAAGCAACGTTTACTTGATTGGAAATATTTAAAGGATGCATACTAATGTTTTTACAATTATATTATTAGCTTTAATAATTAACTTATTCTATTTCATTAAAATTGAGCGGAATAATGACACTGTTGTCTTTTGTAGAGCTGCTTTACAGCTGAAATTGATGAGTTTTGCAACAACAACACTCTTGTATAAAGTGCTAAACAAAATAAATGTGACTTACCTTAATATTTTTTTCCCCCAAAATAAAAAAAGGTTTTAATAAGGTACTGAGAACTGTGAAATGTTACTGGTATATCGTGACAACACTAATAAGCAGGCAGCTGAGGTTTGAAACCGATCTGTTTTTGTTTTTTTTATAACTTTTTATTTTGTATTGAAATTTGCACTGTATTCATTTGCATTGAAAATAAACGAATTAGTATGGAATTTGTACCTTTAACTTGATAATTTCAACATGTTTTTGTGTTTTCTTTGTATTTCCTTTGCTCTATCCTATATACTGTCAAAGAATGACCAGTTCAGTGATCATAATAATTATTTTAAATGTCTAAAATGGAGTTCAATTCTAATGTGCATGTGTGTGTGTGTGCAGTAAGACGATGGTGTGCCGTCAGAGAGTTCTAGAGCTGCTGCCGCGTGTGGAGGGGATGGTGAGTGCGATGGCCCGCAGCGAGAAACAGCTGCAGCACCTGCAGGAGAAGAGACAGAAGGAGCTGTGGAACCTGCTCAAAGTGGCCTGTGTATGCATACTATTCATACTCCTTCTACAGTATGCATGTGCGCACATGCACGATGCCGTGTGCTTGACTTGAGCGTGTGTGTTTTAGAGTAAGGTTCGTAGTCCAGTGAGCGGCAGTCCAGACGGAGGACGAACCCCGCCGGCCCCTGCACACCCGCTGATGTCCCACAGACCGTCCGACGTACCGCAGGCGTGAGTCCAGCTTCAGTGCATGAGACACTTTGCATTCATTTGCATGTTTCCATCATGAGTGTTTCTCTCTCGTGTGTGTGTTCAGAGACGAGTCTCTGCTTGTGATTGAGGAGAGCAAGATGTTTGAGAGCCGCCTGCAGAGTTTAGTGCAAGACACCATTGAGGAAACAGAGACCAGCATGCAGGTAACTCATTTGAGAAATATAGCTATTTGACTCGTATTTGTAGAGTTGTTACTGAATTTCAAATTCAGCAAAAATGAAATTTGCTAAAAAAAATGTGCTCACTCTCAGGCCATCCAAGATTAGGATGAGCTTGTTTCTTCATCAGATTTGGAGAAATGTTGCATTCTATCACTTGCTCACCAGTGGATGCTCTGCAGTGAATGGGTGCCGTCAGAATGAGAGTCCAAACAGCTGATAAAAACATCACAATAATCCACAGCACTCCAGTCCATCAGTTAACATCTGGAGAAGACAAAAGCTGAAACACATCCAGCATTAAGACATTTTTAACTTCAAACCGTTGCTTCTGACTAAAATATAAGTCCATAATCCATAATAATGCTTCCTTCATTGAAAAAGTCCATCTCCTGTTGTCCTCTCACAACAGAATCCACCTACATATTTGTTTTGTCTGTTTAGAACTGTTTTGTATTGTAAACGCTGCTTGATCTGTGCAGATTTCTCTCCTGATTCAGATGAGATGACTTTTTCACTGGAGGAAGCGTTATTATGGATTATGGACTTATGTTTTAGTCAGAAGCAACACTTTGAAGTTAAATAATAATGGATTTGTTTCTTACAAACACGCAGCTTTTGGCTTCTCCAGATGGACATTCTCAATACATTTTCATTTTTTTGAGTGAACTGTTCCTTTAAGAATGTTTCCTGAATCCAGCCACAGGAAACAGGTCCATAAAACGCACAGATCAGAGATTATATTCATCACTGACATTTATCTCTTTCTCTTTCAGATACTGAGAGAGTGGAAGTGGTTGAACGGGGGGCAGGATTTGGCTTGATCCTGAGGATACAGGTTACCAGTGAGTGTTTGTCAAAAAGCGAACAAACATTACGCTGTTCTGCCACCAGCTGGCGGAAACACGATACTGCAGGCAGTGTGTGCTGACAATTCATTCCTGTGAAATCACACTCAACTCATTTACTCAATGCATTTCTTACTTTTAAGAGGTTATAAACCCTTAAATATAGTTTTTTAATCATTTATGTTAATGTTAAGAATTCTTGCATCAGAATACTTGACCGGTTTCCAGCCTTTCTGATGTTTTCTTTGCAAATTCACATTTTGTGCACATGTAATAGTGTAGTATAAATGTTGTTGGCTCCATGACAAATAGCTTGTGCTGTACCTCATTTGTAAGTCACTTTGGATAAAAGCATCTATGTTAATGTTAAGAATTCTTGCATCAGAATACTTGACCGTTTTCCAGCCTTTCTGATGTTTTCTTTGCAAATTCATTTTGTGCACATGTAATAGTGTAGTATAAATGTTGTTGGCTCCATGACAAATAGCTTGTGCTGTACCTCATTTGTAAGTCACTTTGGATAAAAGCATCTGCTTATTGAATAAATGAAAATATAAATACATCCTAATTCCTTATTACCTTACTGTGACTAGACAGACCAAGTGTCTGATCACTCAGTAGGTGTCAGTGTATAAATGTGGACATTTGTTGTTGTTTTCATCCTTTATGATGCTATGAAGATTTCATGACAAAAAGGAAACCTGTCTAGATCACACACACGAGCATGTGAACTTATGTAAAGTACAGTTTCATTAAGGGAAATTATTTTTATATGCTGAGAAAAAATAGCATTTTTTTTCTTTGGTACACAGAAAAGGTTTTTTTTTTACACACAAATATTTTAAATAAAATTTAATAAAATGTATCCAAGTATTTTGTGTGTTCATGTTTTCTAGTGCAATTTCATTAAATGTCAAATAAATTAGCTTTTTAGTGCTTAAACTTCTTAAATATATCTAAAGTTATGAAAATTATTTTTATATGCCGAGAAAAAAAATAACTTTTTTGACATACAGCAGTGCATTTCTTTTAGTATCACTGAGATATAGTTTTTATGAATATTTTGAATTAGTTTTTATTTTATATTTTGTTTTCATGTTAATTTTACTGTCATTTTTAATAGGTATATTTATTATTCTTTTTTTTTTTCAGTTTTAGTCTCTTTAGCGCGTTATTTCATGTTTTAGTTTTAGTTAACTATAATAGCACTGGTGTACAGGGTTATTTCTACACACAAAAATAAATAAATAAAACGTTTTATACACTGAAAAAAATGTTTCATTCATCCAATTAAAAAAATGTAGGGTAATGATTCACATCTATATTTTAACATACTAGGAATATGCTAAAACATACAACATGCTATCAATTGTAAAATGTTACTAACATGCTAAAACAGGTTAGCAATATGCTAAAACATACTAGCAACATACTAAAATAGGTTAACAACATGTTAAACAGGTTAGCAACATGTTAAATATTGCTAGCAACATGTTAAAACATACTAAGCAACATGCTAACATGCTATCAACATGTTAAATATTGATAACAACATGTTAAAACATGCTAGCAACATGCTAAAACAGGTTAGTGACATGTTAAAACATGCTAGCAACGTGTTAAATATTGCTAGCAACATGCTAAAACATACTAGCAACATACTAACATGCTATCGTGTAAAATTTTGTTAACAATATGCTAAAACAAGTTAGCAAAATGCTAAAACAGGTTATCGACATGTTAAAACATGCTAGCAACGTGTTAAATATTGCTAGCAACACACTAAAACATTCTAGGAATATGTTAAAACATACTAACAACATGCTATCAGCGTGTAAAATGCTACTAACATGCTAAAACAGGTTAACAACATGTTCAACAGGTTAGCAAACGTGTTAAATATTGCTAGCAACATGCTAAAACATACTAAGCAACATGCTATCAACATGTTAAATATTGCTAACATGTTAAAACATGCTAAAACAGGTTAGTGACATGTTAAAACATGCTAGCAACATATGCTATCGTGTTATGTTTTGTTAACAATATGCTAAAACAAGTTAGCAACATGCTAAAACAGGTTATCGACATGTTAAAACATGCTAGCAACATGTAAAATATTGCTATATACATGTTAAAACAGGTTAGCAACATGCTAAAACATACTAGCCACATGGTAAAACGTGCTACAATGTGTTCAATATTGCTAGCAAATTCCTAACACATACTAAGCAACATGCTTTCAACATGTCCAATATTGCTAATAACATGCTAAAACATGCTAGCAACATGATAAAGCAGGTTAGCAAAATGCTAAAACGGGTAAACAACGTGAAAAAATGTTTAAACATGTTAATTCATGCTAGCAACCTGTTAAAACATACTAGCAACATGCTAGCAATGTGTTAAATATTGCTAACAACAATGCTAAAACATACTAAGCAACATGATAAAGCAGGTTAGCAAAATGCTAAAACGGGTAAACAACGTGAAAAAATGTTTAAACATGTTAATTCATGCTAGCAACCTGTTAAAACATACTAGCAACATGCTAGCAATGTGTTAAATATTGCTAACAACAATGCTAAAACATACTAAGCAACATGATAAAGCAGGTTAGCAACATGCTAAAACAGGTAAAAACATGCTGAAAAATGTTAAGAAACATGCTAAAACATGTTAACAACATGCTCAATCATACTTGCAACATGTTAACATGTTAGCAATGTGCTAAAATATGCAAACAATGTGCTAGATCATTCTAGCAACATGCTAAATCGTGTTAACAACTTGTTTTTTATCAGTGTGTTAGAACATGTTAATAAAATTTTACTGGCTTTGAGTAAAATCTTCAAACTTCAAGCTTTTCAAGCCAACAAACTTTACTCCTCTCGTTAAAGAATGAATGTCTGATTATTAATGACATGAAGGTGTTTGTTCACCTGGCCGGAGGCTCTGTGTGTATCCTACTCCAACCAGACTAGCGTTGTTGACTTTGGCCTGAACAGAGACACAGGGTTATCATCTACAGTCAGTGACACTGGTCAGCTGTTATAGGATTATGGTTTGTGCTCACAGAGATGGAGGAGTCTTTATCTAACTGGTATTTAGCAGCGATGCCAAAGCGTGTGTTGTTACTGCCTGCGGTCCAGGCCAGATTGACCGCCGTCTCCAACTGACCGTTCACCTTCTGATAGATGGAGCCGCCGAACTCTGTGCCATCATTACTGCAGCAGACAACACCATTAACTTCAGAACACTACACTAGCAGTCAAAAGCTTCTGAACAGTTAGATTTTTAATGTTTTTTAAAGAAGTCTCTTCTGCTCACCAAGCCTGTATTTATTTGATCCAAAGTACAGCAAAAGTGAGTACATTTTTTTCAGGATTCTTTGATGAATAGAAAGATCCGAAGATCAACATTTATCTGAAAAAAAAAAAAGCATTTGTAACATTATACACTATACCATTCAAAAGCTTGGACGCAGTATAATTTTAAAATATATTCAAATAGAAAACAGTTATTTTGACTAGATAACATATTTCAGAATTTGACTGTACTTTGAATCAAATAAATACAGGCTTGGTGAGCAGAAGAGACTTCTTTAAAAAACATAAAAAATCTTACTGTTCAAAAACTTTGGACTGGTAGTGTACATACTGTTAATCACATCTCATTAGCACTATGAGCCAGCATTATTCTCGTTAACTAAAACCATAAAAAAATTGATACTTGAAATGTTAACTGAAATGAAAACTTTTTAATGTGAATGTTGCTCGAGTGTTTCCTCACACATTGGTGTGTAGCTGGAAGTCTCCTGCCTTGTAGCCCAAAGCGAAGTTGTTCTGGGCCAGTTTGGACTTGGCCGTGTCGAAGGCCATCTGATACCCAGCCAGCCAGCCTTCATAACCCAGAACGGCTGCGGCGTGAATCGTCGGTCCGGCCAGGTCGAAATCTATATCACAGCCCACATTCATGTAATCACGCTTATAGCCCGTCTTCAGCTTACCGCTCTTCTTCCTGAAGATAGCAGAGAGAGGATGACAGTGCAGTGCTCTGATTGGCTGTTTCTCAGTGCGGCTAATTTCAGTAGCTCATACAGCAGGAAGGAAACACAGGGAAAATATATATTTCAATACTGTCTCTCGCAGTTATATCGTTGGGTAATTATA